CCACTGCAAAAGGGACATCTGAGCTCATCTACTTGATAATCCCCGCTGGTGTGCCCCACTCACTCATTCCTGTCAATTGCCTCAACCATCCTGATCACCAGAGGAGGCTTCGGGGCACCCAGGGTCTCCTAAGCTGGTCACTCCTGGCAGTGAGCGGCCTTGCCTGTTGATGCTGTAGGCTGTACAGATTTTATCCTGTTATACACATGCCACGCATGACCTTATAAAAAGGCCAGGAGGCACCAACTCTAGCCTGACCCCATTATGCAGATGAGGAAACTAAGGCCCAAGGAGACAAAGGATACCTATTCAGAAGCACCAGGAATGAGGAAGTCTGGATCTCATCCCAGAGAGTAGCTGGGTCCACCATCCTGGAACATCTCAGCTCTGCTCCGACCCACCTCAGCACCCCGTCAACTTCAGCTCCACCTGGGCCTCCATCCGCAGAGCAGCTTCCCCGCCTCCCACCAAGACCGCGGCCTGGGCATCCCCACATCCCTCCTGATATTCTCTGCAAAGAATGAGCTCATCTCTCCAGCAGCCACCTCCACCTTCTCTGGTTTCCCATCATGGGAAGGCCTTGTTGGGGAAGGCATCACGCCGGAGTAGGATGTTCAGCTAATAAATATGTATGCGGGATTTTTATTACTTAATAGTTGTAAGGTTAATCGTTGTGGTGAATGCCTATATTTAATGTGTCAATGGAGCTGCAAAATGCCAAACTGAATAGCTTTAACACACATTAGTTCTACTTGTGAATCTACAAATAGGAACCTTGTCAGAAAAGTATTCAAACCGAGATCAGTATTGATTGTGGTCCTCGGGAAAGGCACTGGACTGTGACAGTTTAAAATGATAAATGTCTAGAGAATTATTTGCCCGTATTGATAAAAAGAAGCAGATATAAAGCTGACAGTCTCGGAGGAGGCAGCGCTGGTGAGTGTGGGCAGCACATCCAGCATGGTTAGGGGCTTGGAGCTAATCTCCCCTTTGATATGGAGAAGATCCCCAAGGGATCTGGCCCTGCCCTGTGCTGGGACTTGCAGTAATTACAAAGGAGGGGGCTCTCTGGGCATGCTCAGTCTGCTCCTGGGCTCCTGCCCCGGCCAACCCACTGTAATTTTGAAAGGGAGTCTTCTGCAGATACCCAAGCGACTTTCATTCGGTTGCCCCCTTCCTGCTCAGTAACCTTCTGAGGCTCACTAAGCAAGACTGTAGTCCTCAACCCAGCCTTAGAACTCTCATCCCAAATGGCACTGCGTCTCTTCCAACCTCACCACCCAAAGCTCACCCCCACAGAGTCTCTGCAGCAACAAGACTGGCAGGTGGCATCTCCCTCGAACTCTTCCCCGAAGGCTTTACTCACACTCCCCGTCCATCGCAGCTGTGCGAAGCCAACCTGTTCTTTAGGACAACTCAACCCCCACGTTCTCTTCAGGTCTCCACTCCAATGCCACCTCCTCCAGAAGCTTCCCCCGGCTACCCTAGCTGGAAGAGCAGCCCCTGTCACTCTCAGTCTCCTTGCCCTGCTCTGATGTCTTCTGAGCCTGCATCGCCACCTGAATACATGCTTCTATGCTGGTGAGGGTTTACCCATCTCCCCCAACCACAATGTACACGCCATAGGGAAGACACTCTAGCATATGCATCACTGTGAGCAGCGTCTGGCATGTGGAAGGTGCTAGATAAGCCTTTGTTGAGTGAGTGAGTGAATGAATGAATGAGTCCTTCAGGAAGCCTTCCAAACAACCCCTAGCTCAGTGACTGTCCATTCCTTCTTTCTCTTTGAACTCACTCAGGGCCTTTCCTGTCTCTCACCACTCACGCCCCTGTTCAAAAACCATCCATGTTTCCCTATGGCCTAAGGACTGGGCTTGAACTCCTGAGGCTCACCTGCGAAACCACACCCCATCTGAGGCCACTCCCAGGCACCACCTCTGCTCCTCTCTTCTGAATCTCAGGCTGGGTTTCTGCTACCCTCCTGCCATGTAGGACCTGGCCACGCTCTCTCTGCACACCACCTCAGGACTGAGGCTTCTGCAGACATCCTGTGTGACCCGAGTGTGGCTTCGTATCATGGTTGGCTCTCACTTACACAGCCAAGGACCTGTCCTATCCTGTACCGACCCTGGGGCCTGGGCGGCACTGCAGAATCCAGTCTGTATCTGAGCTCTGCTTGTTTCACGGGGACCTTGGTCACGAGCCTAGTGGCAGGCACTCGTGTTCACATGTGCTTCCACATGGGAATGTAGTATCCAAAACGGTGTGCCCAGATACGACTTTAAAATCCCAGATCAGAGGGCTTGCTCCTCCCTGAGTTTTCTGTTCTCCTTTCCCTGTCCCTTCCCTCTGTGCACCCTTGTTTCACAAGATACCTGCTGCACAGGGGAGAGCAGAAGGCACCTGCGGGATGTCCTGGCTTTTGCTACCACAGGCGTAAATCTGTTAGAAGACGCAGAGGCTTTGCAGAGAAAGAAAGCAGGAGAGCCAGGCTCTTGGCAAGAAGCAGGGGATCTTGGAAAAAGCATGAATGTGGAAGTATTGCTCCCAGACCAAAAGGATTTCCCCAAGCTGGAGAGAGGAGAGCAGTGAAAGCTGTTCCTCAAGAGAGGGGCCCTGCCTTCTCTATTCCTGCTGAGCAGGAGCCCAGAGCAAAGGCACCTGAGACCTCTGGGGGCCAAGGCTGGGGGCAGCCACAGAAAGGAGCCTTGTGCCACAGTCAGGGCTGGAAGGCATCAGAGAGCAGGGTGTACCCTGAAGGGGTTTTGCAGGCAGGGAGAGTGGAGGCTCCAGGGGCCTGAGGGATGATGCCCAGGAGACCCTCCCTCTCACTGGGGGAATGAGCCATGCCAGAGGGGGAATCTGAGAGGCAGGACGACAACCCTAGAGGAGCTGAGGTGATGGGTTTCCATCAGCCCCACATAATGAATCGTGGAGGCAGCTGTGGGACAAGTGAATTGTGTTACCAGCTGAGTGAGAGGACTAAGATTCATGACCTCAGCAGTGGTACTGCTGCCTGCCCCACGGGTCTACATGCCCTGATGGCAGGTGCTGAGCTTCCTCCTCTCTGCCACTTTATACCTGCCCAGGTTGGTGCCAACACAATAGACTGGACTTTGCCACAGCCAGACGGCCAGCTCCCTGCACTTTGGGAGATGTTTCTTGCCCACTTCTCATCAAGAAGGCATCTGTCACGAGTGGATCCCCAAGAAGAACCATGGGATGAAGACAGAGGGCATAGAACTGCTCACTGTCCCAGCAGGGGCTTCCAGGAGGGGCGGCAGGCAAGCCCCACACTGCACTCACTCTGAGGCCCCAAGATAAGGCCACGTGGGGAGAAGGAGCTGTCATGGACCCTCTTCCATGAGAACACCAGGGTCATCCCGTCCTGCTCCACATGCTCTTATCTGACACCACAAGCTTCTCCCTCATGCCTCCAGAAAGATCCTGACATTACCTAGATCCCGACATTACCTGAAGAGGCCTTGACCCATCCCAGAGTCAAACCACTCACTGTACAACGACAGGTGCCAAGGCCCAGAGAGGGTAAGATGTTCATCCGACATCACACAGCCACTTAGCAGATCTGAGACCACACCCAGATCCCTTGCATCCTAGGAAGTTACTCCTTCTAGCACCCCAGGGTATCTTGCAAGAATTTATTTGTGCCTCCATATAACTGCCAGAACTCCACAGCCACAACGAGGGTCCTCTAGCTAATATACCTGCTGAGGGACATGTGGCCTCAGCAGCAGTGATGAGAAGTGACTGACAGTCAGAGACACCTGAGGTCTAGGGCCACCTGTGGCATATCCCATGGCTGGGCCTCCAGGAGTCTGGAAGGCTGGTCTCCTCAAGTAGGAAGGGAGGGCCATAGACTAGGCCAACGTGAATGGGGGCAGAGGAGGCATGCATGCATGATAAGAGAAGACTCCAGAATCCCACCACCCTATGGTCCTCCAGGATGCTTGTTTTCAAATGTCTTTCACTGGGGCCTCTGCTTAGAGTCATCCCAAAAAGGACTGCACTATTAAAATAAATAGGTGACCCAGCAGCCCCAGCCTGGGCAGACTCTTTACGAGGTTACACTGTGGCTCAGTGGCAGGAACTGCACTTGAGCAAAGGCTCCCCCAAGACAGCTTTAGCCTGCAACCAGGCGCTGTCCCAAGGCAAAGTTTTGAGAAGGAACTGAAAACCAGCACTCCTCGCAGGCAACGTGCAGACTCTGAAGGGGGGTGCCCGGTGCTCTGTGAGACCGCAGTAGTGCTGTCCAGGAAGAGAGCTACCATCATCGTTTCTTTAAATGGCCACCTTCAGAGCCCTCGGCCTGGTTTGAAATAGCCACACCCTCTGTAGAGCATGCCAGGAGCTGCTACCAAGGAGAATAGGCTGGGCTGGAGTCCAGCAGAGACCAGAGAGACACATTTGGCCAGCATGGCTTGGGTGTGCAGGGAGCTCTAGGGTAGTGGTGTTTCTGGGGTTCTGGGGTGATCAGATGGGCAAACTCACCCGGCCTGACCTCACGCTTCCCCAGGCCTGGGCTGACACAGATAGAAGGTCAGACACAAAAAAGTGGCTTTTCTTTTTTTTTTTGAGATAGTCTCGCTCTGATGCCAGGCTGGAATGCAGTGACACAATCTTGGCTCACACCTCCACCTCTCAGGTCCAGGTGATTCTCCTGCCTCAGCCTCCCGAGTAGCTGGGATTACAGGCACGTGCCACCATGCCAAAAGGAGATTTCACCTAGAAATGGGGTTTCACCATGTTGACCAGGATGGTCTTGATCTCTTGATCTCGTGATCCACCCGCCTCAGCCTCCCAAAGTGCTGGGATGACAGGCATGAGCCACCATGCCTTGCCTTTTTTTTTTAATTTTTATTTTTTATGTATACCTTGGTTAAAGCCTCACCGCCAGCAGCACTGAGCCTCACACAGGGAGCACTGCATAAGCCAGACACCAGGTGTCAGGAGGCATCTAAAAGGTGATGAAAAGGAGGAGGTATGGAAAAGCTCCAGAGTTTGGAAAGGACAGGAGTGTCCCCTCCAAACGAGGGGAAATGCTTTCAGCAGCTCCTCTCCCTGTACTGTCCGTGACCAGGATCGCCTTAGAATACAGAGGCACAAAAGTTTCAAAGACTCAAGGTGGGGAACGAGGGACACCTTGGAGGTTGAAGTGCCTGGCAAATGAGGCAGTGGAGACAGAGAGCCTTACAGTCACAATAGACAGGAGCCCCAACTCCAGGGGAAGGTGGGAGACTGCAGGGGGATCAGAGACAAATTGCTGGGAGTTTTCAAGAGGCTGGAGAAGGGGTCAGCAAGTGGCTGGGAGTTTTCAAGGGGTCAGCAAGTGAGAGGCCGCAGCAGCCTCCACTGACAGCCCAGGCACTTGATGGACTCCAGGAGGAGATGACCAGGCTTCATGTGGGGCTGGGCACCCCACTCAGAGCTGACAGCCAAGGAGGACGGGGGACCTAGAAGAAATCAGCTCCACTGGTTCAACACAGCACCCCCTGCCTGGGGCATTCCCAATGACTTGGAGCCCCAATGGGCCTGGCGAGATGGGCTGTGGGCAGTTTGCCCCTCGTCACTGCTTTGCCAGAGCCGTTCTTGCCCCTCTGCTTCTGACTCTGTGGCGTCCTCACACTCCCTCAAGTCACACTCCCTCTCTGCACAGATGCGACTATTTTTCTGGAGAGACTGAATTCAGCACAATAAAGCTAGTTATGAAACAGACACTTGTTAAAGGACGTAGCAAAAGCTGGTTTTCCAAACCTGGTGCCTTTACCATACAAACACGGGAGGCTCTTCATGATCTTGGAGCCCAGTGGGGGTCCAGCGCTTCTGGAAGCAGGAAACAGTTCTTCGGTATAACCTTCCTTAGAAAGCTGAGTGTGGGACCGAGGACAGGAAGGCCACTGAGGTTGGAGTAAAGGAGGTGGGTCTCACCCCTGCCTACCCGCTTCCCTTTCCCCAACCCTGCCTGGGAACCCCAGGGTTCCACGAATCAGAGTCTGAAAACTGACAGATTTGTCCAATCCCCTCATTTTACAAATAAAAATAATGGGGCCACAGAGAGAAAAGGGAGCTCGTTCGAGACCACACAGCACTCCAGAGTTTGAGACCTAGAACACAGTAAGAAAGAAGGAGTCCTGGTCATTATTTTTCTAGTATGAGAATACCATGGCTCATCCAATTGGTGAACAGAGATCCCAGGAGCCCCCAAACAGTCTCAGGTGAGGTTCCTTCCCCTTGGAGAGGCTGCACGCCCTCCAGGAAAGAGAAATCCTCTTACTGCTGCAGAAACTGCTCTTCTCCTTCCTGGACTGCCTTCCTGGGTCTTTCCCTCCCTTTCTTCTCAACAGTCAGAGCAGATGCAGCCCCAAACAGTTCCCCGACGCAGGGCCCAGAGCCCTCACTCCCTGCCTCTAATTATCCTGTGATAGATGTTGGCGTTGCTGCTAAAGGTATCTGCGTGCAGTCTTTATGGTCATTTTCCAACAGCCCAGACCTTTTAAACTCTCTTGTGGGAGCAGGTTAAGATGATTATGCAGATGAATGGACCCCGGTGCAATATTATGTCAGCAATGGAGATGTAGGAGCTGCAAACGGGGCATGGTTACTGCCACGAGGAGGCTGCTGCAGCCGCCGCAGGACGAAGGGAAGTGCACGAGAACCCTGGGCTCTGAGAGCAGCCTCAGACACAACATGTACTCACACACACTCCTCCTCAGCCTCTCTAGTTAGTTGTCTGGCTACAGTCAGACTCTGTTCCCATGGAAACGTGAAATGTCACCGCGGCTGTTAGGATGCCAGGAAGACACAGGTCTGCTGGAAGGAGAAGCAGCCAGCACCCAGGGAGGTCCTGCTCTCCAGCTGGCTTGATGGGGCTGGGGAGAACCAAGTCAGACACAGAGCTAGACCCCAAAGGACAGCACAAAGAGCAGTCCTGGGTACCAGCAGGTTCCCATCAGTCGCAAGACAAGGGTGAGGTCAGCACACCATGGTGTTGATGCTGCAGTCCTCGGCACCTCCTAGAAACGGGCGACCCACGGGGCTCTGTGCTTCCCAGCAGGCAAAGCAGAGAAGAAGACACAGTTTCATTCACCCTGGTTTCCACAGATAAAAAGAAATTCCCCTTTTCCTGGTTCTATGGGTGAGAGAAATGTCTCCCAACAATTTCCTTGGCACTCTCCCTCCTGCAAAAGACACAATAACTAGCTTCTTAGGTGCTACTTCTCCCGACATCCTGCCTTCAGCACCAGCCTATGGCGCCACACCGAAGCGGAGCTGGGCAGCAAGGCAGTGCTACCTGCAACAGAATACACGGCAAGGTTAGACTTAAAATGAAGGAAAACACAGGCTCTTCTGGGAGATGGATGGGCAGCACAGCCTTCTGGTCATCTTCTAGAAACAGGTTGTCCTTCTTCAGACTGTGGAGTTTATGGCTGTCATCTTAGAAGGGAACCAGCAGGGCAAACATCCTATGTTCCAAGCAGTGACTGTGGCTGATGTGTGTGGAGCACTGGAGAAAACGGATCCCAAGCAGTAAGACTTACAGCAGCAGGAGCATTGAACATGTGGGGAAACCAGGACAGGGTGAAAAGCCAGGGGGCAGTGACGGAGAGCCAGGACAGGGTGGGAAGCCGGGGGACAGTAACAGGGAACCAGGACAGGGTTGGAAGCCAGGGGACAGTGACGGGGGAACCAGGACAGGGTAGCCACTGCCTTTCCCATATAGATTCCTCCCGTGTCTGAGTTTAGGAGCTTAAGGAAGCCCAGGGCCTGTATTTTCTGAAGCCAGGAACTGGAAACAGACAGAAGTGGGTTCTTTCTTGGAATAGAAGCAGGGAATCAACACCAGCTAACATTGTCCCTCACCATGATTAGAAGCGCTCATTGTTCAAACAGCCAGTGTCAGGCACTGTCCTGAGTCACGTGCGTTAATCACACCTCCCCACACCTCATAATAAGCCTGTGAGGAAGATGTAATTATCCCTATTTTATAGGTGGGGATACCGAGGCCTAGAGAAGCTGCATGACTTCCCCAGGGTCACCCAAGGTGCAAAGGGGCAGGCCTGGCACAGTGAGCCTGCATAGGAGCCCAATAGACCTAAATAATCAGTGTCAAATGGCCCAGCCTTTAGAGCCAAGCTCATCTGGACTGGAAATCCAACGTGGCTAGTTCCCTTACTGTGTGACTCCAGCCAAGTGACTTAACTGCTCTGAGCTTCAGGTCCTTCATCTGGAGGCTGATGTGAATTGTATCCATCCTCAAGAGTCGTTGTCAAGATGAGTGAGATTGTGCAACAAGTACCCCTAGACCCCCCACAGCAGGTGCCCACTAACTGCAGGAGAGGGTCGCACTCTGGGAAGGTGAGGGCCGCCCCTTTCTGGTGTATCCCCATACCTGCAGGCTCTCTGAGGGCTGGCACAACATAAATAGGCACTGGAGAAATCGCTGGGGAACGAACGTGGGCTTTTTTCTTATTGAAAAGCAACATATGCTCATAGAACATGAGAATTGGAAACATGCATTTTTAAAATGTCACGCCAGAGTCCTACCTCCAAAAAAATAAACCCTGTTCTGCTTTTTCTTTTAGGTAAATTATTCGAGTCCTGTGAATTCTTCAGCCGAAGCCAAGATTTCTGCCCCTGACAAACCAAGCCAGCTATTGTCCTGATGCTGGGGTCTCTCCTATGGAAGCCCGTTGGCGTTAGGACTCAAAGGGAGCTGCCTCGTCCTCCGTCCTGCTCGGGTCTCTGCTGCACATCCATTATCCCCCACCTGCTCTGCTGCAATCAATATGGGAAGTCCTCCCCTCTCAGGAATGCTGGCGACTCAAGTGCTTGCAGCTTCAGAGCTGCCACCATGTGAAGAAAGTGTCCAACTAGACCCTTCAAAACAGAAGCCTTGGGGTGGAGGGAGGAGTGCCCAATAGCTTACTCTGAAATGTTTCTGGGAAGTTCTCCCTGCCGTGGCATGGTCCCCAGGACCTTTCATGACCTGCTCCCTGCCTGTCCCTCACCTCTTCCTGTCACGGCATCTCCTCTATGCTCCAGTCACACCCAGCATCTTTGCACTCAGCCCCCACCTTCATGTTTTATTCCCTCAACATAAAATGTTCTTCCTGTGTCTGAGTGGCAAACTCATGCTCATCCTTCAAGGTCCCACTCAGAACCACCCCTTCCAAGCCAGGAAGCTTCCCCTAAACCCCCAAAGTTGGTGGATTGGCCCTGCCCTCTGTTTCCACGTCCCTGAATTTGCCCCCACTACAGCGCAGCCACCCTAGTATCACGGCCTGGGCACTTGGCAGAGCAGGAGCTCCTGGTAGGTGTGGGATGGCGGTTGGCACTTATTGGAGAATTCTGCCGCCTCTCAGTGAGTGCAGTGGGAGCTGTCACATGTCTATGCCTCCCACGGTTTAGAGCAGGGCCTGGGACAGAATCAGACTCACTGAATGTCCAGGGTAGGAAACTAAGGAGGACATAATGGGGAAGCTGAGTGGGACCCTCCTATGGGTCTGGGGTTGGCTACGTGGGCCCACAGTGGGATAGACATTACGTCCATGCTGAGAAAGCTGTTGACAAGCAGGGCCAGCCAGCTTTCTATGGGACAAACACCAACTGCTCTCTGCTTCATCTCACTCCGTCCCCATCTAGAAACACTTAGGAAAGGCAAGAGAGAAAACTGCTGAGTCGTATGGCCTTGCGCAAGGGCGGAATTCATGGTGAGAAAAATGCTCCCCTCCCCTAAGCCAAGCAGGAGAAAGACCTCCAGGAGAATCAGGCCTAGAGACAGGGCTGCCTCCAGGAAAAGGAGATCAGCACCTCCCCACCCCAGCTGGACCTAGCTGAATGCAGAAGTGGGAGGCACGGCCTGGGGGAAGGCAGAGCATACGCCCCTGGAATGTGAACACAGGAAGTGGTGCCTTCTCCTCTGGCAGTCTCTGCAGGAAGGAGGCTGCAGCTTGCCATAGAGACCTGCACTTGCAAAATGAGGAGGGACCAGCACTTCCAGGGCTGGGGATAGGATGAGAGATCTCTGACCCCATTCTTCCTGGCTTTCCCAAGCCCTGATGAACACAGAGAGGACCTTGGGACGCCATATATACAAGCAT